GCCTGCCAACGCAGACATGATTTCTTAATGTCAGTTTAATCCAAACAAAAAATCAGGGGAAGAGTTAAGCGAGAAGCTCTCTTCGGGATATACTGTAACGAGGGCTCCCTCAGGTAGATGGTTCGTACGGATGCGATACCACCAAACTGCAAATCTCTCGAACACAGCTCTTGCAAACGTCTAAAGAATGAAAGTAAATGGTAAAACTTAATATCGTTAAGCTCCGGCTTATCTCAATTGAAGTCTCTCAAGAGGATGTTGGTTGTGTCGGGGTAGGAGAGTTCTCGTATAATCTTTAAGTAGTCAGACTTATACTAAAGACTCCCCCATCAGGTTACCCCGACCAACATGAGTATGCTCTTCTCTGCAAGGGTTGCCCCGGCACCATTACCGTGTCCCCAAAGGGCCTAAGGTGTCAGTGCACTCTACCAGAATTCTCCTATAGGTACATCAGTTCCTGCAAGGTGTTAACCAATACACCTGCCGCAGTGAAAACCTCTGCACATCGGGGTCTTGTCAGTGGCTAACTGTCAAGCCACCTAGGAAAGGGAACTACATGACTCTCTTCCCATTTTGCTATGACCTATGCAAGCACCCATAGACATCAGGTGTCTCCTGGTTAAGTTCTATCTATCTTGATTGCGAACTTAGAAGGTCTATAACGCTCTGGCGGAGATCTACGGTGGCCGTGGGACCCATGGGTACTACCCATGGTCCTGTACCCCCAACACACCACTCACCATGATAAGTATCATGCTATTACAGTCCTCAAACAACCCACAAAGAGCCTAAGGCAAAGGGGCACGTGTAGGCTTGATGGGCGTAAAATCTTCCTAGATGTCTCCGGCACTACCTGTAACCGGTGCTGGTACTCGGTTATTAGTTTGTTTTATGTTTAGTTTTAAGTATTGGCTGATACTTAGTTTGTTTTATATTTTGCTTGAAGTATCGGTTCATACTTGGTTAGTTTTACGGATTGATAGAGTAAGAACATGAGTGAGAATTCATGATCGCACTCAAACATATGTACTTAAAAAGACCGCCACTTTCCGCGAAGGAAGAGGGCAGACTTCGACAGTTAGTATTCTAATATACTCGGGTGAACAGTTATCTTTATTTTCCTATTACGCCACTGAAGCCTCCCGTAGCAAGCTTAGGAACCCTCGATCTCTGGTAGATTGTCAACTCGCTCCTAGTGTACCAGTGATGTAACTAGCGCCTCAGCGTGAACACGTTACACTACCCGGGACCACTCTTGGCACCCTTCCTGATAGCTCAAGCTAACTCCGTCAGTTTTAGTCCGTTTTACTCCGTTCATTTTGGACAAGGTACTTGACCTTCTCACCTTCACCGCCTTATATATCCTGCGAATAGCGTCCAGTCAGATGGACGGCAGCGACATGTACAGTGTTATGGACATGTCTTCCTGAACTCCACTTTACTAGTAAGAGGGCAACTGCACCCATTTTGGCCCATGACGCCCGGTGTGAACCCTGGGGCCGCAGGTACCTGTGAGGAATAGTTGTACCAAATCCCAGCTTGTTCGGAGCACTATAGCTCCTCCCATAGCCTTCCGATCAAAGTGCGAACATCTGTAATAACCCTACGTTATAGAGTTATGGTGACCTAAGTCTATACTCATACATAAGACCAAGATCTCCGCTGGTAGACTAGCCGGGTATGGTGACGCATATCAGAGGGATCTCTGATGGTCTGGATATCCCTAAGAACAAAAGGTACTTAAAGAATTGGTGTACCTAAGTAGTGGTAGTGACATGACAATGGCCACTCTGGCCTAAGGAGAGGTCAGAAGACCAGGTGAGTTTGCCCTCTCTAAGGAAGTCACGTTACCCTACTATGGAGACCGGTTTCGTGTCACCATGGACATACTTACCCTACCTTTGGGACATTATTACGCAACATTCCGTCAGACCTGTTCTCGGAGGAAGTCCGCGAAATGTCAGGATTGTTTGTTACGCAATGACGATCGATGGGCACTTCTTTGAACTTTGATCGGAAGGCTACAGGAGGAGCTATAGTGCTCCGAAAAAGCTGTGATTTGGTAGAACTATTCCTAACAGGTACCTGCGGCCCCAGGGCTCGCCCCTGGCGTCATGGGCCAAAATGGGTAGAGTTGCCGTCTTACTAGTCCTATTGAGTTCAGGCAGATATGTCCATAACACAGTATAGGTCGCTACCATCCGTCGAACTGGAGGCTACTCGCACGATATACAGGGGGGTGAAGGTGAGAAGGTCAGGTGCCTTCTGCAAAAAGAACGGAGTAAGACGGACCAAAACCGGCCGAGTTAGCATCAGCTATCCAGAAGGGTGCCAAGAGTAGTCCCAGGTAGTACCAGCGACATCTGGGAAGGTTTTACACCAATCAAGCCTACACGTACCCCGTTGCTGTAGGCACTTTGTGGGTTGTTTGACGACTCTAATAGCATGATACTTGTCATGGTGAGTGGTGTGTCGGGGGTAAGGGAGCATGGGTAGCTCCCACAGGTCCCGCTGCCGCCGGAGCTCTCCGCCGAAGCCTTGTAGACCTTCCAAGTTCGTAATTAAGATAGATACAACTTAACCGGGGGACAGCTGATGTCTACCGGTGCTTGCGTAGGTCATAGCAACATAGGAAGAGAGTTATTTACTTAGCTTTCCTAGGCGTCTCGACAGTTAGCTACTGATGAGACACCGATGCTCAGAGGATTTCACTCCGGCAGGTGTATTGGTAAACACCTTGCAGAAACTAATGTGCATATAGGCGAATTCTGCTAGAGTGCGCTGACGCGTTAGGCCCTTCGGGGACACGGTAATGGTGCCGGGGCAACCCTTACGGAGAAGGGCATACTCATGTTGGTCGGGGTAATCTGATGGGGGAGTTTCTGGTATAACTCTGACTACTTAAAGATTATACGAGAACTCTCCTACCCCAACACAATCGACATCCTCTTCAGAGACTTTAATTGAGATAAGCCTCACCTTAATGATATTAAGTTTCACTGTTTACTTTTATTCTTTACACTTTTACAAGAGCTGTGTTTGACAGATTTGCAGTTTGCTGCAGTCGCATCCTTAGCAAACATCTACCTGAGGGAGCTCCTATTACCCCCCCTTAGAGTCTATCAGTATTACAGGAACCACCAATTCACTTAATACAATTCAGGTTAAAACAAGGGTACTTATTCAAAATTCAATATCTCCTCACTTCCTTTACTAAAAGCTTCCACGACAATTCTACCCATTGCCGCAGTTTTATTTTCCATCAGGTAAAACATAGGAAAATGACACGGCAAGGTCGTCCGGTCAACTATAGGTCGAACGAGACACGGTAAGCGGCCAGGCTTGAGTTCCAAAAGCGTTATAACCATAGACGAAACCTTGCACATCGTTTGAGACAGGTTGTACTTCTATCACTATCCTTCCTCTCAGTCTACTTACAATTCATATTGGTTGATCGTACGACCTGTCAGAGGCTTATGAAGCAACGCCATCCTGATGCGGAAAATGAATCAACGGTTCAACAATCACTACCACTATTATTTCCATCTCTTGATACCCCTGTGCCAGGTAATCCTCATTTACATTAGCTATTGAATCATGCTACTCCTTAGATTGAATGAAATCCTAATAGAACATACATTATGAACTGTTTCAATCAAGCCGTGAGAATAGCCACAGAGAAGGACTTGCTATGGGAGAGGCATGTACAGATGACAGGGATCACAGACTTGGTGACAGACATGTGGTTCCACCTGGAGGTGATCATGATCATAGCCATAGTTCTCTGGCCGCAGTCCTTGGTAGACTAGATATTATGATGGGTATTGTACCAAATAGGATACGAGTTGTGGTACAGGAAATGGGATTACCGGTACAAGACATACCGGAAGAAATGGCTCTAGCCCAGGTCTTGACCAGGGTTCAGTTACAGGAATTCAATAATCAAAGTCCGGAGCCCAATGATATTTTAAGCTGATATTTACAGGTTGGTTGCTCAACCGGGAGAACCAACAATTAATACTGATAATAGTGGTACCAGGTACTTGATACACGGCATGAGGATGATGTTGAATCAATTACTACCACTGGAGATCAGCTTTGATCTTCCAAATCTGTTGCAGAAACCATTGGCATGTTTACCAGTTTTCTTCTTGCTCTGTACTGACCTTACCTTCCAGCCCATTAATAGAACAAGACTATTGCTAATAGAAATAACAGAAGGGGATTCCCCACAAACCAGAGTTGAGCTAGCGATACTGCTAGAGGACCAACATGTAGCATCAGGATTTAGCATTGACTACCCGATAACCATCTCGGATTCCGCAAGCTTTTTTTCACACGAGTTACCAGTAGAGCCAGCAACAGATAGCAGTTACTCACCTCGTGAGGGATCATCTATCTCCTCCAATGATTCCAAGAGTTGTATATCCATAGAAGTTCGTGAAGAGAAGTTTGTCCTGACAGCCTTGCCTGCAGCTCCAGTGGGTAATGGTATGCTGAACTGTGTCTACAGATATGTACATCATCATCCGGAGCAAGATAATGCTAGAATTCGGTCATATGTGGGTGCAATACCAGCAGAAGACTCCAACAATCCAATAAGCCAAAACTCTATCGGGTGTGATCCAATGGACTCTAGTGGGATCCTTGTGAGATACCTGGCATCCGTACTGCAGTAGAATCTGCCGCTTTGCAAACATGATTGGCCAGACAAGATCTGAGATAGTATGGCAGAGGAGATGAGTGAGCATGAAGGTTGTACATCGGCATCCTATGCAACTGTTAAGCCTTATCATAGCCAGTCTGTTAAAGTGGGGGTTGATACTTTCTCTATGGTCCTTGCGGAGAAAGAGTTTTTATCGAAGAACTTACATGAGATACCATCCTTAGTAGCAAATACTACTTACTCCGGTGTTTGTCTTAATGATGGCAATATTGAGCATGGGGTCTTCTCTTTCACAACTGGCATATTCCATCACAAATCTCAGGTTGTCCCAAGTATGGCTTTTAATATCGATAGTATTCTTGGGTTTCCCTCCAGTCTTGCCGTTACCAAAAAGGGTATCAGAGTATGCTTTGTTCCTGCATACCAGCGCAACATTGATTCAGATTTGCATATTCAGGCCTCGTTTACCCCATGCGGAACCAATGCAACTGGACAGCCACAACCTCAATCAATTCCTGTCCACAAGGTTCCGCATTTGCACTTAGGTCACCTGTATGGTCATGATGATTATGCATTATATATAATGTTTCCAAACTTAATTGAGGAAACAGGGGGATCCAACCACCTCACTGGGTATGAGATTAAACGGTTTATGGACAACATATTACTGGAGGCAATACATGATATATGTCCTATGTCACTTGTTCAACATCTCCGGGAACCTATGAACAAGCTCAACTTGAAAGTAGAATCCCTGACACGGGCATTGCTGGAGGTGCTAGCTGCAGAAGTGACCGGCAAAAACAATTCTTTCACACTATTCCTGCACTCTACTTGGGACCCATCTGGGATAAGATTTTAGTTCTTGTCCAGATTCTGGGGCCATGTGACTTTGGTGAACTGCAGCTCTTCCTTAATGCGAAAAATCTCAAGTTGGGAACGAGTAGCAGCAATTCAGATTCAATGATTACGGATTTCCTGGCATCATGGAATAGCTGTTGTGATATGGATTTGATAGCCAAGGACCAACTGTGAATAGATATTGCTAGTGAGTTGGTTCATGACAAAAGTGTGTCCTCCTCAGCACTGCTAGATGTTTCGGGAGCTGGCTCAGGCTGCGAGACTAATTACTATATGTTTTTCTGGCGGCAATGCTGCTTGCGCGGCCTTGAGGCTGCCTTTCAGGACCTATTTCCGGGTGATAGGCATCGTCGTTCTTACTATACTCAAAGCCTCGCCCGTGATTTAATTAATATGACCATTGAGCCCGGCCAACGATATACCGCGCGGGTGCAAGGCCTTGCATATTCTCAATTCTACTCCTGCAGTAAGGAAATTTTTGACTATGGTAAGGTGAATCTATTGAATGTCCGGTACTCCAAATCTTAGCTGTTGATACCAACCTGCGTGATATCTGGAAAAATCTTGCCAAGCAGAGCCGATTCAACCTATCGAAAATAGAACGTGAATATGCAACTTCTCAAGCCCTGGCAATGGCTAGATTATGTGCAGCAGAAGAGAACTCCTTTCAAGTCGAACAGGAACATCGAATTACCTACAATCTCTTCCTCCTGGTACTTGAGCACCTGCGCCTACAACAGCCTGCATTGCCTGACTTTGTTCACCATCAGCCCTCGTTGAATCCACTCCCACACGCTGTTATTTTAATTTCTAGTCATGAGATGTCTTTGTTTTTCCTCAGCAACGTAAACAAATTTTGTTTTGCCTTTGAATACATTCTAAGCAAGAGTTAGATAAAGGGGATAGATTGGAAGAATACCCGTTTCATGATCATGTTTCTCTGGTTAATGAGACTAGCAGTCAGAGGAGGAAACTTGCAACAATTTCCAGCCTTGGCACGACCTTTTTCATCTGGTTCCGCGGTTCATCTTCTGACCTCAGGCCTGGGCCTATGCGATACATTGTTGAGGCGCAGATATGCCTTTCTTCCTCCAAACCTAATTGACTGGGTGACTTTACAGTTTAATTCAAGGGTAGCAAATAAGCAGTTATTTTCTATTCCTTGGATCAAGGGCCTGTATAAGTCATGATGGAATGGAATAAATCAAGCAACCGAGTTTTATGACCAAGTCACACGTGTGTTGGAAAATCTGGCACAACATTCAGCCAATATCCGACTACGCATGGTTTCCTGTCGGGTCCTGAGTGGCGCTTTAATTGAATTATTTCCACAGGATGTCTGGCGCACCCTTGCTAAGGATGAACTCATTGTTACATCCTCCTATCAAGCTTTGATCCAGTCTTTTTCCCTACTCTGTTTAACCAATCTTCACTGCATATACAACTAGGATCTTTCCGGATTCAGGCTTGTCCAGGATTACAACTGGCATCAGTTCCATCTCTTTCACCGCGTAACTTATTTGTGGGACTATGACTCAATCAGAAATGGAAAGCCATGGGAGACGAAGGCATGGCGGCATATGTTCCTGATTATCAGTGAAAAAGTTGCCAGACTTTATCTTGACCATTTGGTATCACAGAACTTTCGTGATCAGCACTTTTTACGCTTTCTCCGCCACAACCCAATATTTCCACAACCTGTCAATGGGACCTTCCACTCCTATTACCACTGTAATAAAGACAGCTGGCAGCGATCCTGATACTGTGCATACAACTTGGACACCACATATCAATGGAAACATAATTCCTGGAGGACTGGATCGACAAAGCCTGGGTCCCACAATTCAGAAGTTCCACCCCACCTAACCTATAGTACTAGTGATGTCTCCAGATTATTAGACTGTGTATCGGAAGATGGTATACTACTTGAGAAGTTGAATTCCTTAGGTCAATAATAATGGTATTGTTGGGCCTCTAAGCCCCACAGAATCATTAATTCAATACACAGAACACCAGAAGCTAATGGACTTTAGACTAATCAGCAATACCATTCCTGGAGATTTTGCAATGTTTACGTGACTTTCGGTCCCTCCTTTAGCGGTGTCACAGATTAGGTCTCTGCAGGATCAGGGAAAATTGGTCTCACATTTGTTTGTCAGGGGAAGGGGTGTTTCGGGCTGCTAAACCAAGCCCTAGCTTCTGGGGAGTGGGGGGTGCGGTGTGGGAGAATGACGGAGGGTGAGACTGGAAAGAAAATCCTAGGGATGAATGAGTGTACGAGCTTGTATTGTTAATATTCATTATTTGTGATCAGTATTTCTAGTTTGCTAGGTTGCCAAAAACATACCTCGTACAGAGTGTATTGTTCCTCTCGGAACGGATAACTTATGCATACCTCTACTCCATTTGTGAACCAGTTAGTTTAATAGATGTGGAACTCTCTGGTATTCCAATTGATACCGCCACGGAATATAACAGAACATGTTTTCTTTGCTAACATCCCATCTGCTTACTTCATACCACCGGCTATCGTAGAATCATTGCGACTATTTGATTAATGCGTATATTTGTCACGCTAGAGCTGCATTTGGTAAAACAGCAATAAAATTGAGACGTGCATGAAGATTTTCAATACCCTTGAAGAGTATTGATTACGGGTCAGGGTATGGTGGGCCTTGCCCTCTTGGGCCGCTGTTGCATGGGCCTGGGAGGTATTGTTGCAGTGCTGCCTTTCCTGCCCCTGTCCAGGGCCCCACCCTAGTCATTACATGGACGGGCCCTCCATCTTCCCACCTAACTTTGCCGGGGAGCCGGCTCGGGCATAGGTGGGGCGGGGCCCCCAGTGGGTAACGGGGCAGGGCGAGCCCCTAAAGATTCCCCGCCCCAGGCCCGTGAGCTCGCTGGGATGCGGAATGGGGCTGGGGCCGCGTGTCTTTCAGGCCAGGATGCTCTGTTTTTCAGGCAGGGGGGCCGTGTTTTTCAGGTGTGGGGGCCCTGTTTTTCAGGCCGGGAGGCTGTGTTTTTCAGACGGGTGGGCCCTGTTTTTCAAGAAGGGGGGCCGTGTTTTTCGGGCCGCAGGGGGAGGAATGCAGCTGGGGGCCCGTGTCTTTGGGGCCCCCGAGGCCCTGTAACGAACTTTATCCTTGAACTGAGAACAGTTTTTACCCACTTTCAAGGCAGGAAGGAAACCTGATTTTTACAAATCCCATGAGAAGTTTGTAAAATTCTAATCGCTGTGAGGTGGTGCTAGGAGACAGAACTTGGGGTACTCAAGATTTTTGCAATAGAGTTCTTCAAATACATGAAGCTCTTCTAATAATATCTTTTGTCAGCAGTACCTCATATATTGAATAGGATTATATATCACAGGTCCTTATGTGATTTATCTCATTACAGCCTGAAGTCAGATATGAATTTCGTAGTCTTGTAATATTGTTAGTCACCAGCTAATTATGATTCAGACTAATTGTAACTGGGGCCAATAAGGTTTCTCAAAAAGTGGTCAAGAAGGCTTGTAAGAAAAGCAGGTATCAATATATAAGGAATATATTGATCAGATCTCTTCTCCGATCGCTGAGAATTCAGAAAGCCAAGGATATATTTTGTTTGACTGATTTAAATTTTTGTTTATGGGACAAAAAGGCAGATGGAGCGCTAGCTATGCTGGCTAAAAAACTGCCCCCCCCTGGACCAGGGTGAACCACAAAGCTAAAAGAACTCAGTGGAGTAGAAAAAACTACCCGTTCCCATAATCTTTCCGATAAACTGCTCTACTCAATAACACCCACTGCCAAGTGACAACAGGAAGCTAGCTACCTCACAGTGAACCAAGAACATGACCCAACCCCCAGAACGTCACACCTCAGGGCACAAAGCCATAAGGAACCCCTCAGGGTAAATGATCATAACTCAAATCCCACATAAGAAACCCGATGGCCATATGACGAGGATGAGGAGGAGGGAGCCAAGGCTCAGAACCAGAAGGGTATAAGGGAAACCACCCTGAAGGTGGCAGCCGGGAATGGAGTAGCAGAGGTTTGTGGCAGGTACACTAGCGACCATGTGTCCTCCGGGACATTGGGCAATGGAGGTAGTAAGGTACCAGCTGGCATGGGTATGGGAATCAGGTGCTAGCCGATCCGTCCATACAGTAGGGCCCTAAGGGAAGCAGGTGTTTCACTACATTTCTCATGTAGTCCCTGATTCTGGAAGCTATAGCGTCACTGTAGTGGAAGGGATCCCACTACCTGACAGCCAAAGAGGCCCCAAAGAGGATAGAAGGGATATACCCAAGACCGTGGTCAACAGCTATTGGTTATCACATTCATGTCTGACTAGGTAGCCTCTTAGGGGAGCAAGAGAATGGAGAGATTAATTGAAACCTGAAGGCAGTTCTCTCCTACTGCAAAGTACAGTCCTGACAGTCTGGGGTTGGTGGCAAAGGCGTTGCTGACTATTCCAACACCTAACTTGTCCCTGGTAGGGAGAGGAGAAACATCATGTGGATGAATCAACGCAAACGATGAATGAAATGGAGAGCATCAAGCAATTCATCAAGACCTCAAGGAGGCGTAGAAGTAAGTCCTCCTCCTGGAGTCGTGGCTGCGTGGATCGAGGTGGGGGGGGGGTGGTGCTACTAGATATTGAACGCCAGAATAGTAACCATGGTGTTGAGTTTTCAATTCCCCGAGGTGTAGCAGAGATGGAGGATATCTGAAAGCTAAGTACTTTTTTGTTTTTTGTTGGACTCATTGGTTGTTTGTTTGAGGTACAAAAAAGGTATCGAGCACTAGCTTTGACAACCAAAAATCCATATCCCTCCTCTAGGCACAGGAAAAAGCCAACCCTACAAGCCCCTCAGGTATGGAGCCAACTGCACATCTCCCCTCAAAGAAAAGAAACCCAAACCCAGCTAGGTAGACGAACAAGGAAATCCTGACTATGATGAAAGCAGGAAGGGCCAGGAAAACCTGGTGAGAAATCCAAAAAAGATAAAACAAAGGTTAGTATTAAGCCACGGAGAGCCCGGAAGGGCTAGTCGACTCATTCAAGTAGGCTGCAACATCGGAGGCGTGCTAAGATAAGTGGCCCCCATCAGACCCACTCCAAGGAGGCAGTGCAATACCACGGAGAAAAGGAGGAGAGCAGCCTGCCGTGGGCTATAAGCGGGCAGGGGGAAGGTGTAGCAGTAGGGTGCCAGCCACTGGGACTGCAGGGAAAGGACAGAGGAGGGGTAGACCCAAAGACCTTAAACATCGTCGATCGGTAATCGCATTTATGTCTGACTGGGGAGCCTCTTAGGACAACAAGAGAAGGGGGAGATCGACCATAGCGAGTTGGCTGTTCACCCCTACTGCAACTATAGTCAAGGCCGTCTGACGATGGTAGTGAAGGGATTGCCGACTATGAGAAGGCTAAGCGAGTCCAACTCCAGAGGAGGAGCGGACTCCCCACCACATGTGGAGGGAGTAGAAACAGGGAGTAAGGAACATGATCAACAGCCGCCTAGGTAAAGCAAAGTATGTATTTGACCACGCCTCTCCTGTAGTCCCTTGTTGTTTGAGAGATAGCATCACTGTAGTAGAAGGGATCCCTGCACCTGCCAGCCAGCCAAGGAGGGCCTCCAAACGACTAACCACCAAGGAGAGAAGGCGCGCTGTAGCGGTAGACCAAAGTCTATACCCTGGCTGTGAGAAGAGGGAAGAGCCAGACTCTGCTAGGCCGAAGCCAAAGGGAGGAGTGGGGGGGAAAGTGGTGCTGGTTTCCCGATAAAACTCCTGGTGTTAAGTATTCAGCCACCCTAGAAGTAGCGGAGATGGAGGATGGTCTGAAAGCTAGGGATTTGGTTTCCTTTTTTTTTTGGTTTAATTGGTATATTCTTTATTGAGGTACAAGAACCTGCATGGACCGCTAACCATGGTGAAAACAAACCGTTAATTTCAAACGTATTCCCCCGTGCCCGCGGGACTAAAACAACCCCCCGAGGGCCCTCTGGTATGGGAATACCCCCACATCCCACCCCACACAGGAACAATCCTCCTCCACAGGGAAGGCAGAAGAGGAAAGAAAACCCTTCACCGTCATCACGATAAAGGAAAGAATAGATTAGGCAACCCCCAAGTGCCTCGACAGGCGTGCGCAAACCAATGTATCCACTGTGGTGCGCACAGTAGGACCTGGGCGAGAT